GTATCTGGTTGCTGTGAAAGACTGCCCCGGGGGTGCCATGGGCCACCCCAAAATATGCATTGTTGGCATAAGGATTATTTTGAGCTGATTTTTTTTTTTTTTTTTTTTTTTAACTGCAGACAGAAGAAGCTCTGAAACAGGGTATAAGTTACCCTTTTGTAAGGGAAATCTACATCTATAAAAGACATTTACATTAGAAAGGCAGCTTGTGTCTCCGGCAGAGAGCTACTACTGGAGATCATTTTTTCACCTGAGGGGCTTATCTGCCCCGTAAGGGCAACCTTTGTTATCCAAACATTTCCTCTTCTCACCTTCCAGTGAATTGCCTTCCCTTCTTTAAATCCCAGACCCTTCTCCCTTTCCTTCGCTGCGGATCCTATATAATCCTCAATCTTCTGGCCACCATTTAAGGCTCTTGAATGTACATAATTAAAATTGTTTTCCCCCCTTCCTGTTAATGTCTTTTTACACGGAGTCTTAGCCAAGAACAATGAAAGGCAGAAAGAAAATTCTTTTTCCTTCGCTCTAAGACCAAGTCTAGAAAATTTAAAGTGGTATCCTCCTCTCTGTGGTGGGTAAGGGTAGGGTGGGAGCATATTGGAATAACCCTGGGGGTTAGGGTAGGTACGTTTTTTTCAAACTACAAATCTCTCTTGGCCTGTCAGGATGTACACTCTCACATTTGCCCCCAATCCCTTGAGTCCACATAAGTAACCACTATTCATCATCTTGGCATATTTCTATCAGTATGACCCCAACTTAGGTGTGCTTAGATTGAAGGAGGTAGCAAGTAGAGCTCTCTGCGGGAGACTCCTATCAAGTCACCAGCTCCCATGGCTTTGCATAAGCAATATTAGAGTTTATTAATAGTTCTATGTTATCTTCTGTAATAGCACAAAAGCCCAATTTTATCCACAAAGGACTCTTTGAGGAGAATTTTGAGTTTTAGTTCATTTATACATTTTTTTTGAGAGTACATTTATTAAGGCTGGGGACAGTGAAACAAGGCAGGCCTTAGGCTAGAAGCAGCAGCAGGAGAGCACCTAGGCGGGGCTGCTTTGTCTCCATGAGAAGTCGAGAAAAAGGGAGCTTTGGAGACAGGTTCAGGGTGTTAGCTGGGGGTGACCTGCCAGCGGCCACTCCCCACGGCTCTCCTGGTTGCAAGTCTCCTGGGGACCCTTAGAGTTTAGGAGGTGCATGCCTGAGAGGGAAGAAAGGCCTGGGTGTGCTACGGGGAGCAAGACTGTGCCTACTTTCCATGATTTTAAGTTTATTTTTTGGTGCTAGAACAGGAAGCAATGAGAAACAAAGGACAGAAAAAGATGAGAAATGACATTTAGCAAGGACCTGCTATGTGTCAAGTATAGTTTAAGCACAGTGCACATTGAAACTCAAGAAACTATGCATTTTTATGTTTTAGCTACTCCCTAAAACAATAGAGTTGAAACATAGGGTTACTTAGCTTTGAAATTGGTCCCCCCAAAATGAGGAATAGTAGTACCTAAAATCTCTCGGCTGTGCCTTTGAGGAGCTCCCTTAAGATATATACATACCAGTATATGTATATCTTACAGTTGATCCATTATTCAAAAGTAGTTGAAGCTAGAGTGCTCAGAGGTGCTGGAGATAACTTACCAGCATGCTGGGGACCCAGTGGGAGCGGTATACCTCAGCCAAGCTGCTGGGTGGTCCATTGGTTAAATAGGCGAGTCACTTCATTGGAGATCCATTAAGAGAGACTCTACTATAAGTTGCTGAGCTGGAGTTCAGCCCCTGGCACTGGCTCCAAACACTACATTTATAGCACAGGGAGATGGTATTCAGGGATCAGTTAACAATTAGGATTTCTGTGTGATCTCAGGCCCTGGCGAGGTGGTACCCTGAGGGGTCTGGAAAAGGAGATAACTTTGAAATTCCAAAGACAATGTTTTCTTCGATGCAAAAGACAATAAATTGGCCCACTTAAGATCAAGATTGACTTTTGTCAAGGAAGGTACAGGTCTAGGACATGACTACCCTTCCTGACCTGCTTTTAGCTAAGAATTATGTTCAGGCCCTCCTATGTGGTTGGTTACTTTTAGTCTCTGAGTTCGTTGCACCCACCATTCTAGCTTTTCCTGAGTTTGTCAGGTTTTGTATGTAGTGGTAGGACAAAAGCCACTTTCTCAGGTCCTCTTTCCCAGAGCTCGCTGGACCCCATAAAGCATGCTTGACCCTAATTGTTTTATGAGCATTTATCCTCAGGACTAGCAAAATTACTGGAAACACACTTAAGGCTCAGAGGCTCCGGGGACTTATGAAACAAGACATACCAGACCACATGACTGGACCGGACCCTACACCCAAAGATAACATCAAAACAAGTTGCGGCCCAACGGAAACATCCTGCTCTACAACCTCCCTATTACCTGATGAAAACTCACAGCCCCTACCCCTCAGGGCCGGGGCTGGTGCATTCTCTGCACTTAGCCCTTCCCTGCTCTTGGGAAAGTAAAAATAAAAAACTTTGCTTTCTGCACTTCCTTTTGTGAATTCTTTCACAGCCTGCTGTCACCGACCGCCCTAACATATGGCCTCTTTTTTTTATTTTAAAAAAATTTTTATATCCTCATCTGAAGACATTTTTTCATTGGTTCTAGAGAGAGAGAGAGATAAAGAGAGAAACATTGATATGAGAGAGAAATATCTATTGGTTACCTCCAATATGTGTCCCCCACCGGGCATCAAACCCACAACCTAGGTGTGTTCCCTTACTGGGGATCAAACTGGCAGCTTTTCAGTTTACAGGATGATGCTCCAACCACCTGAGCCACACAGGCCAGGGCATGTGGCCCCCTTTTCATCCTCACTTCCCTCTTGTGGTCATAAATCAATCCAAAGCACACATTGACGACCAACCTCTTGGTTGGATAATGTGGTCTCACGGTGCTAGGAAAGCTCATTCCTAGGAAGTATTTCTTTCACATTTTGTCCTTATTAGTTGTTGATTCTTTCCATTGTTTCACCATTTCCCCAAGCAGGCCCCAAATATTAACAGAAACAAGTTTCTCCTTTCTTTCCCACCTATTCCGCAAGTGTTGTTCTTCATAGAAGGCCCTTTGCTTTTCTCAGCAAAGTGCAGAATGGTTTGCCCTGAAACCCTTCTCTTCCCTTCCCTTCACCGTGATGGGTGTGCCAACTACACTTTACGGAACGGCATTAAAGTGCTGGGGCTGCTGTAGGGCACAGAAATGACACTGGCTCTCCACAGGACACCTTCTCAAGCTACCTCTCTGGTGTAAATAAGTAGCACTCCTTCGAAACTCCAGTCAGATGTGACAGGCGCTGGTACTCCGGAGGATTAATTCTTGTTATCTTTCTTTTTGTCATCATCCCCTGAGCAGTAGGAATGCCATGTCAGCCTTCCCTTGGAAAGATATGGCAACCCAGGGGGCACTTGCATTGGCTTCCTTATCAAGGCCCAGGTCAGGCAGCCCCAGCAGTGTTACCATTTCATCAGGACCCTGAGCTCCCACTAGGGTCTGGAGCGCCAACAACCCGTTCCAGCTCCAACCGCCCCTGCCTGCCGCCCCAAGCACCACACACACGCAGAGCCTCATGGCTTTTCTGACACTTTTTTCTTCTTTGGTTTGCTCTCCTCCCTCTTACCTTCAGAATCAGAGTCAGCTTTGTGCTTGCCTCCCTCTGACATATCTGTCACCTATGCTGTTTACTGTAACTGTAGAAAGAAAGTCAGCAATGAAGTTGGGGCAAATCAGGTTCCATTCCTAGAAGTCTTAGTGTCACCATTTGTCTTGCTGAAATGGTGGACCACTGAGGATGGGGTAAGGCCATAACCTTGGATAGGCGTCAAGCCTGTCTATTGTTTTTTTGCATCCAAAATAACATGCTTTTGAAATGTTAGAGTACTATCAGGGCACATCCCACTCACCAGAGCCTGAGATCACATAGAACCCCTAAGAGTTATCTTGTTCCCTGAATACCATCTTGATGTTATTTATTAATACCATCTGTAAATGTTAATTATTAACTACTCTCTACCAATGTAAAAGAAGTATGTGTCTTCTTGTTTTACTTTTTATCCAATCCTAGCAATCCCCACTTTGCTTTCTCAGCCCTCTTAATCTTCCGCTAACGGACTTCATGTGGCTCCCCTTAGGTCTTCTTCTTTAATTTTAATGTATAAAATAAGCTGCAAAGCTGCCATTCTCTGGAGCATTTTCTCAGTCTGCTCAGACTTTGTCTCCCAGGTCTGGACATTTCTTACATTGACAATGTTTATTTTTGTTAACGATCATTTCTAATCTTTTGGTTGTTGCTGTTTGTACAACAAGAAAAAAATCAGCCCAGAACATGGCACTGGAAAACAGGTAGTATGCAAATAGACAGATTTTAAATAAAAGAAGCTCTTTTATGAAAAATGGAAAGACGTCGCTGCTTTTCCATTTTCCCCCCCTTATCATATAGGGAGGTGATTGTCTCCTGCTTCTTCAGGTTAGGCAGGGCTGAAGATTAGACTTCGGAGCCTTGATTGGGTTGGACAGTGAAGCTGGAACCATGCACACTGAGCTGGGAATCACCATTGCTGACTCAGTGTCTCTAGGAGGTCACTCAGAGAAGCCGTGCCAGCCTGACCACACTGGGCAGCATTCATGCCTCTTAAACCAGAGAATTCTTAAAAGCCACTGAGGACAAAGCCCTTTCCACATTCTTGCTTTTAATTCTGAATGGCCCCTGCAGGAGCTGAGCCTTAAGGATGCTGAGTAAATCTGTTAGAGGATTTAGCTCTACTTCTTTTTAATTAAGATACACAAAGCTCTAATTACCTGCGGAAATGGGGCGAACAGCTTCTATTGTTATCTCTCATTTGAATAAACCTTCCCTTTTAATATGCCAAATGCCAAATCAAATGAGGTCCACACAGGATTTAGACTGGTTTTCGTAACTAAATCTCAGATTCTCAGGGCCGGAAGCTTTTAGAAGGCAAAGCAAACACTCACCTCTGGAAAGGTGCCGGTGGGGGCAGCCGCAGGGTGGGAAGAGGGCAGAAGCTTCGAGCTCTGTTTTCTGAATCTTTGTGGTTAATAATTTCTCTGAAAGATCTGGTTGCAGCTGCCCTGAGTCTTGGAAAAAGTATTTCCTCTTTTTTTGTCACCAAGGGAGGTCAATACTCTTTTAACTTACTGCTCTAGGAAAAGTTATGTGGTTTGCCAGTGGTTAAATAAATCTGGTGTATATCACTTGGTCAACAGGCATTTGGGTGACACCATCCTTGGCCCTGACTCAAGAGAAAGGATTGCTCTGGGGTTTCAGGCCACTCCCAGCTATTTACTCTCATTATGTTACTTTTCTTGTTAAACTGTAGATTATGGATATGATGTAAGTGTTTCTGGATTTTTCTAAAATGTCACATTTTTAAGACAGGGAAAGTTTCAGAGAATAAAGCACTACTTGCATTTTTCATAAGAAGTAGCAGCCTGGGGCACGCACAGCTGCTGATGTGATCTGTTTGCCCTGCACGGTGTTTTCTAGAGTTTGAATTAATTTCTATCATTTACAAACCAGGAGATCTTACATAGCCATCAGATTATCAGCCCCTCAGGAAAAGAACCGCCAGACCTGGTAATAAAGGGCCTGTACCGGCACAAGGGTACAGCTGGAGGCTGCTGAGGGCTCACTGCTCCCAGCACCACCTGACTACTTCTGGCAGGCATGACCTTCCAGTTCCACACCTTCCTCCCGTACCTCTTCACGGCCCCTTTTAATTAGTTTCCTGTTGAGTTTTCTTCAATTCAGGAAAAATGAAAACACAGAAAGCTGTCATTGGGCAATCATTTTTATTACACAAAGTATTTCAGATTTGCTTATTTAAAAAAAATGAATCTCTGGTCCTGGCTGGTGTGACTCAGTGGATTGAGCGCTGGCCTGTGGAGCAAAAGGTTGCCAGCTCGATTTCCAGTCAGGGCACATGCCTGGATTTCAGGCCAGGTTCCCAGTTGGGGGCGTGTAAGAGGCAGTGGATCAATATTTCTCTTACACATCAATGTTTCTTTCCCTTTCTTTCTCCCTCCTTTCCCCTCTCTCTAAAAATAAATAAGTAAAATCTTTAAAAAATAAAAAATAGGAATTTCCTAGTAAAACCTGAATGCATTATACAATATGATTAAATTGACAAAACCAACTAAACCATCTTAACTACAGAAACGCAGTGTGTCAACGCAGGTGCAATGGGCAGCGATCAGCCTAGGGCAGGCAAGAAGGTAGTGCACTGCCTATAGGGGATTTAAAAACAATAGGAAAAACAAATAAAGCTGTTGTTCTGCTTTTGAGTGTCAGCAATCCTAAAAAGGTAAGTGATGAAACACTCCTTCCCTCAAAAAATCATTTACTGGCTTAGTCATGTCTGGATAGTTCTTTTGGCTAGAACATTGTCCTTACACATAAAGGTTGCAGGTTCAATCCCTGGTCAGGGCACATACAAGAATCAACCAATGAATGCATAGGTAAGTGGAACAACAGGTTAGTGTTTCTCTCTCTCTCTCCCTCACCCTCTCGCTCTGTCAATCAATAAATTAAATTTTTATTTTTTTAATAAGTAAAAAATTTTTTAAATCTTTTGATTTAAATTCTAAAAATATTGCTGCGATTATGTTTCAATTATATATGCTTATATATGTAAAATGTATTTATTATTTTTAAAATTTTATTTTTTTTCTATTACCATTTATCCCCTGCACCATATCTGCTTTCATCTCCACCCACACCCTCCCCTACCATAATCACCATATTGTTGTCCATGTCCATGAGTTCTTTCTAAAGTTTATTTTTAATAGACAAATGTGTGTTACATAAAAGTATTTTCTTATTTTAATTTGTGTTACTTATTCTTCAATAGACAATGTATTTTACATGGAAGGTCATTGAAAAGAACTCCCATTTATAGAGTCACCCTTGTGCCACATATAGACTCAGTTAATTTTTTTTTTGAGATTTAGTTGGTAACGGTTCCAAATCATTGGTGCAGTTTGTTTCCTTGCATTTAAACAAGCGATCTAGAATACTCAGTGATAGCACAACCACGGTAAAGATGAGGAAACAAAACTTAACGCATTTCAACTTCTTTATTTCATGCCTCCAACTGGAATTTCTAGTTAAAATGTTAAATGGTGAAACCAAAGGCAAGCTATAACGTGTGCCATCTTTTATTTGGCACACATAAATTTAGTCCACAAACTGTTAAAAACAAAATTTGGATAATATTTTTAAATTAAAATTCATTTAAAAATTGTTTTAGAATGAAAGACTGATTCAAGAAGTAAAAGCATTACAGCAATGATGTGATTTAATAGTTGTCTAAATCATATCTTCTGCAGACATATGTTTTTTTTTAATTTGGTTATTAATTGCTGATAGAGAAGAGAGAAAGGATCTTTCCCCCCTATCGACCTAAGTGGGAACCCTGTAACAAAAAAAAAGATTAAAAAAAGAAAAGTATATAAGTTTATTTAATACACATTATACAGGACACAGGAGCCTTCATAAGGAAAGGAAGATCTGAGGAAACAGTTAAACCTGAGTGTTTTTATGTTAGGATTGATGGTGAGTGGGAAATCATGAAAAAAATGTGATAGGACAAAAAAGGGTTTAAGTTAAGCATAGTAACTTGGGGGAAAGAACAAGGCTTGTTTATTCAAATTCCTCTTGACATCTTGGAAATAAGGATGGTCCTTTCCTGGGGTATAGATAGGGCGCCTCTCACAGGACAGTTCATGACCTGCTTGAGGAGAAGCCAGAATGTTCTTCCTGCACCTGCTGTTTCTCAAATTCCTTCAGCTTAAAATATTCAATATGCCAAGGTACCTATTTTGGGGTAGTGTGTTTTGAGCTCCGTCACTGGACAATTATCTGCATAAAATATTATATCCGACTGTAACCAAGTGACCTACAGTCAAATTGTTTGATATAAAAAAAGTTGAAGAAATAGTTGTTCATTCTTCTCTTTTTGTACTGCCTTATTTATTTATTTTTTCAGTTTGTTTCCTGGCATAATTAGACAGAGGTTCAGAAAATAAAAATTCTCACTACCTGCATTTCTTTTTGTTTCATTTCATGACATCAGTGAAAATAATTTGGTATATTGAGGAGGGGAAGTACTAAAAATTGATCTGCTGCAGACATCAACGTACAGGCATACCACTGCTATGGCATGCAGGGACGCAGGTAATTAATGTAGGAGAGGGAAAACTTTTCCTCTACCTTCTTTGGTTCTGTGGCTGGGGCCATGTGAATTAACTAGAAAAAGATAGATTAACGGGAGAAAAGGTTTATTTCTCATGCACACGGAACTTCACAGAAAAAGAAGTTAAAATCCAGAGAAGCAGTTAGGAGCTTTCAAACAATTTTAGCAAATGTCAATAAATTGTAGAGAAGTGACTAGACGAAAGAGAGTGGTGGTTGTGCTTCTAGGGATGATATTCAATGAGGTCTGTCCAGAAAAAAATCCAGCCATTGTTAATATAACAAGAATGGTTTGCATGACGTCAGTGGAACCTGGCAGCCAAGGAGAGTGGACTGGAATGCACATGCGTGAACAATGATGGCTTCACTTTACTAGTCAGTGGGGGAGGTGGTTGCCGTTTAATGAGCATGTGTATTGTGTGGCCATCACATTCAAAATGACTGGGTGAGTAGAACAACAAATCTGCACCAATTTTATGTTAAACTTGAACATTCCTCCATGGAAACTATTTGGATGATTTAGAAGGCTGCAGTATGGGTAACTGGTGATTGGCAGCTTCATCACAACAACGTGCCCGCTCATGCATCACGTCTTGTGCAGAGGTTTTTGACAAAACTTCAAATCACCCAGGTGACTCAGCCCCCTACAGCCCAGATTCAGCGCCTTGCACCTTGCAACTTAAGGCTTTTCCCAAAACTAAAATCACCTTTGAAATGGAAGAGATTTCAGACTGTTAATGAGATTCAGGAAAATACAGCAAGGCAGTTGATGGCGATGAGAAGAATTGTGTGAGGTCCCCAGGTACCCACTTTGAAGGGGACTGAAGTGTCATTGTCCTATGTATAATGTTCCTTGTATCTTATATCGTCTTCAATAAAAATCTCTATTTTTTGTATTACATGGCTGGATACATTCTGGACAGAACTTTTTGTATTGTAGGAAGGTAACAACTAGGAAAAGTATGGCAGATAAAATTCTTAGTAGGCGCTATGGTCTGTTTTTTTTCTCCAAAATTCCTATGTTAAATCCTAACCCCCCAAAAGGGAAAGGGAGGCCAGAATTTTCCTCCTATGCCTGCCTTTTTTAAACCACCTTCAGCTCAAAACAATCCTTATGCCAAGTATGCATATTTTAAGGTGGCATATGCTGATTTCCTTAAATAAGCATATGAACTCAACAAGATATGGTTATGTCCACTGGGTTTATTCTGTTGGGTTAGGGACATCCGTACCAAATTCAAACATTTTTTTCTTTTTTAAAAAAATTGTGGTGAAAAAAAACCACATAAGACTCATCATCTTCATTATTTTTAAGTATATAGTTCAGTGGTTCAGTATTTACATTGTCATAAAACAGATCTCCAGAACTTTTTAATCTTCCCAACGTGCAACCGTATACCCATTAAACAAGAACTCCCAAGTTTGTACTGAATCTTTAAAAGAAATTTCAACTAACAGGTTAGTCAAGGGAGAAAACCAACTTATCCGGCATGAAGAAAGGCAGTGTGAGAAGTCAGGGAATGAACTTCAGAGTGGGTAGAAAGGACAGTACAAGCTGGTCCTGACAGGGACAGCCGGATTTGCCAGGAGTGGCAGAAGTCCAGGTGGAGTTCCTGGAGAGACTAGAAAGGGCTCCGGGTCATTATTTTTACCAGTCCTGTAAGATGCTTGGCGTCCTTGCATTGAAATTATCCCTGGAATGAGATGTCTGCTGCTTGTTTAGGCTTCATTGCTCTGTAGCCAATGTCATGCCGTAACATCTTCCACCCACCCGTTCAAAGAGACTTTTAAAATAATAACTTTTTAAAATTACATTATTT